CGGGCTGCCAGAGGGATGTCTGATTGCCATCTTAGGCCCAATCCCCTGGGGAGCAGGCCTAAGCCAGCAAGTGGTCACCCCCGAGGGGTCCCAGACTGCAAGAGGGCACAGGCTGGGCTGAGGGACCCCCTACCCCCGAGTGCACAAATTTTTGTGCACTGGGCCTCTAGTATATCTATCTATCTATCTATCTATATATATATATATATATATATAGAGAGAGAGAGATGGATAGAGATATAGTGACACATAAAAGGGTGCTATTTTATAGTGTTTGAAAGAGATCAAGTTTGATGAAAATGAAAGGTAAATTTTAAAATGGAAGGAAATTCACATGTTTCTTTTCTAAATGTGTTTGCAAGTGTGAGAAGGGCTTAAAGAAAGCAATCCTCATTTCCTTAAAATCAGACTCAGAGCTCCTGTTATGCAGGTCCTGGAGTGTATCTGATAAGCTATATGTACTCCGTGCTTGACAGTTTTAGGATGCTTTCTGGTTCTGCTGTCAGTTTTGCCTCTTTCAGATTAAACTTCCTTTTTAGTGTAGGGTAGGACCTGAATGGTCTGCTAAAGCAGCACCCCTACCTGCATCCTCTAATTAGAGCATTTAGAGTTGAATACAAAAGTGGCCTGGGAAAAATCAATTTCCTTGACTATGAGTTTAAACTGGATCCAGTATCTTAGAAATGAATGTCTTACAATAAACACTCTGCAGGAGTGAATTCTGCTGTGACTGCCCTGAATTGTATAATTTAAGGGGGAGGAAAGGGAAATAGAAGTATATTATACAGAACACATCACTCTGGCTGTGCTTTTTAATGAGGTTAAGCAACATTATTACCATTTATCGATGGACACTTAGCAAAACTGAGTATCTCTTCCCCCCATAAATTGTAAGAAATGTAATCCTGAAGGTTATTAGCGTTTGTTCTTTTAGCTGCTTTTATACTTAAAATTCAATAACACCACACTTGACCAGAATGCCTTTGCCGAGGGGCTATCTCAGGTTTATATATCGATATATAAATTTGGGAAATAATAACTATACTAAAATAGATAAACTATTTATTTATATTAGTTATTAGTTTTCCATGGAAGCAATATCAAATTACTACAAACACGATGGCTTAAAACAGCACAAGTCTATTGTCTTAAGATCTGGAGGGTCAGAAGTCTGAAATGGGTCCACATGGGCTAAAATCAAGGTGCTGGCAGGGCTGTGTTGTTTCTGAAAGCCCTGGTGGGAAATGTATTTCCTTGCCTTTTTCTGACTTCTAGCGACTGCCCACATTTCCAGGCTTGTGGCCCCTTTTCTCCATCTTCACAGCCAACAATGGCCTGTCCAATCTTTCCCACCTGGTATATCCCTCTGACACGGACGCTCCTGCCTCCCTCTTCCACTTATGAGCACCCTTGTGATTTCACTGGACCCACCATAATAATACCAGATCCCTTTTCCAATCTCAAGATCAGCCGATTAGCAACCTTAATTCTCCCTAGTCATGTAATGTACGTACTCATAGGTTCCAGGAATTAGTGCATGGATATTCTTAGGGGGTATTATTCTTGCCTACACATCATCTGACCTAAATTTTAACATGATTATGTTGGGTGATACCTTGGCAGTGTACTGAAGGAGGGCGGGGAGCGGTGGTGTAGAAGCAGGAAGATGAGTTAGGTGCAGTGTTTGAAAGAGATCAAGTTAAGATAAAGTGGTGGCTTAGACAAAGGTGGTTATAGCAACAGAGGTGGAAGTAACAGGAGCCTGGATATATTTTGAAGGCAATTTGCTGGCCTGGTAGGTATAGGATGTGAGAGAAACAGAAGAGTCACGTGGAATTTTTGGCCTAAGCATTAGGAAAAAATAAGTTGCCATTAATTCGGATGGAAAAAACAGCTGAAAGAGTAGGTTTAGGGGTTTAGTGTTCAGTTTATGGAAAGCTGAGAATGCCTCCTTTAAAAAAAAAAGGAGCACTGTCTTTTTAATAAAACGTTTTGAACATTTTCTGGTAGATCTGAGTTGTCAAGAAGTTGGATTTACTGGGTAAGGATTAGGAGGGTGATAAAGAAAACTTTTTTTTTTTTTTGCCTTTGCAATGATTTCTGTTATTTCAGTGATTTATAACCTATGGGACCAGGGAGGTTCTTGTAACATCTTAATATATTCCTGAAACTTCTTCCATGACCACTTTTGCCAGATCATCCTGAACTGCCTGTGTCAACACTTGCACAAAGCTTAAGAAATGGGTATTTCCAAACATAACACACTAATGCATGATGTTAATGATAGAGGGAATTATGACAGGAGGTGTATGGCGCTCTCTCAACTATCTTCTCTATTCTGTAAATCTAAAACTGTGCTAACAAATAAAGTTGATTGATTTAAAAAAGAGAGCAAAAGAAAGAAATGGGAGTTTCCTCCAGTATTGAGTCCCTAGAAAACATCTTCTTTCTGTAGAAATTAGTTCTGAGTGGCATTTTCATGTTATTCCTGGGTTTTTATTTCTTTTTTTAAAATTAAATCTTTATTGTTCAGATTATTACAGTTGTTCCTCTTTTTCCCCCCCATAGCTCCCCTCCACCCGGTTCCCACCCCACCCTCTGCCCTTCCCCCCCTCCACTGTCCTCATCCATAGGTGTACGATTTTTGTCCAGTCTCTTCCTGCACCCCCACACCTCTTTCCCCCCGAGAATTGTCAATCCATTCCCTTTCTATGCCCCTGATTCTATTATATTCACCAGTTTATTCTGTTAAACAAATAAAGTTGATTGATTTAAAAAAGAGAGCAAAAGAAAGAAATGGGAGTTTTCTCCAGTATTGAGTCCCTAGAAAACATCTTCTTTCTGTAGAAATTAGCTCTGAGTGGCAGTTTCATGTTATTACTGGGTTTTTATTTCTTGTTTCTTGTATTTGAAGATTCTTTTTAAAGACTTCCTGACAGTGAATTACTTAGTTATTCCAGTGGTTTTGGCAGCCATAGAGGCCTGTGGAACTTGAAAAAACAATAGTTAATATATATATATAGTGTGTATATATATATATATATATATATATATATATATATATACTATATATATATATATTTGATTTTTTTACAGAGAGGAAGGGAGAGGGATAGAGAGTCAAAAACATCGGTGAGAGAGAAACATCGATTCAGCTGCCTCCTGCACACCCCCCACTGGGGATGTGCCCGCAACCAAGGTACATGCCCTTGACCGGAATCGAACCTGGGACCCCCCCATAGTCTGCAGGCCGATGCTCTATCCACTGAGCAAAACCGGTCAGGGCTAGTAAACATATATTAGGAAAGGTTGTTATATTCCAGGTGTTATGTTAAGCACTTTCAATGGCTTATCCTATTTAATTCTTAGAACAAACTGATGAAATCTTTAGGGATTATCTTGGCTACATTTTGGCAGGTGGAGTAATTGACGCTAAGAAAGGATAGGAAATAATGGTGCTGGAGTTCCAGCCCAGGTAACCTGACTGTACAAGCTGCTTCTCCCTGCTGTACCATAATTTCTGCCCAAATTGATCCATGCCATCTATCTGTGCTTGAGATTATTGTGTGTGATTGGTATTAATTTGATACCAATAGGAGCTGGCTTTCTGCTCCTCTGTGTGTACTTCTCAAGAAAGCTAAACCTAGCAGCATCCAGCTCTCCAAGAGGGAAAGGAATTTCTGGCCAAAAGAGCCATCTGTGGCCCTGCTGCTAGTTCGTACCAAGCTTCTGACACCTGGTAATGGTCACAAATTGATCCCTGCCTCAGCCTTCAGCATACATCCCACATCATCCAGTAATTTCGTGCTTCACTTCCGGTCCCATTGAACACCTGATGGCTTGTGGCCCCTCCATCTTCAAAGCCAACAATGGCCTGCCTGACACTGCATCCCTCTGCCACTGACTCTCCTGCCTCCCTCTTTCCTGCTACTCTTTTACAAGACCCACTGCCCGGAGAACTGTGTAGCCACTCAGCCCATCAGTGATCTCTCTTCATCTGGCAGCACCAGAAAACTGACTGCTCACCCTGAGACAACTTGGTAACTGCTCAATCAACCGCAGTTTTATCTAAAATTAGGAGCAGGCTTCCTTGTGAATGACTTGACTATAAGCTTCATGAGGCATGGATTGTGTCTGTTTGGTTCACTGTGATATTTCTAGTGCCAAGCAAAGTATTAGGTACCAAGTTCTTGTTGAATGATCGTATTGTGCACTACGATGTGTAAGTACCTTATAGGGAAACTCAGGTGTCTTTGCTCTAGTAATGCTCTTAGGCTGTTGTCTGTGCCACTAAACACCACAGAGGAACAGCCAACCAACTAAATAGCCCTACACTCCCCTGCTGACTAAGAAATGGCCATTCCGCACCTACTCCATGAGAAAGGTTTGAGTTTAATGCTACATCCCATAAAGCCCAGCTCTTGTCCTGACCAGGTACTTAGTTTAAAGGTGTTGATTAATGGCAATCACCCTTAACAGTGGAGAACAGATATTTCACATATTGGAGATTTTAAGGACTAATCTAGAGTGAAAAGTATTTTCTTTGAAAAAGTTAGTGAAGCCATCAAATTTCCATCTGCCATCACTTTACATTTCTCTGAGGTCTTGAGTCTACTCAATGGACTGAAACTCATCTATGTTTTTGTGCAGATTTTTATAATATGCCCTGAGATTTCATCCTTGTCCAGGTCTCTTTTGTGCTGCAAAACAAGAAAAGTGTTGATACAGTATTTCAGGGATATATTACCTTTGACTTCTCGCCCAATGCATGCACTCACACTGATCTGTTCTGTGGGATTAGATTACTTTTGACCAGGTGACAGAGTGATGCAAAAACAATTTAAAGAATAATCTCTCTGCAGTATAACTGCTCCTTTCACTTGTTGATGAAATTGTTCATATAAACTGTTAGCAAATACAGACTTCTTCATTCAGTTCAAACACGGGCAAATATGTGGATCCAGTGCTAAACAGTCCTGGTTTCTTTTTTATTTTCCCAGGCAAGAAAACTGATCAGTGATTTTGCCATCATCTTGTCCATTCTCATCTTTTGTGTAGCAGATGCCCTGGTAGGTGTGGATACTCCAAAACTAATTGTGCCAAGTGAGTTCAAGGTAGGTGAACTTCTGTCTTTTGGTCATTCCTAGAACCCTTTGGCTTTCTTTCCTTCCCCCTATTATTCTAGTTTGTCATATCTGTCCTTAGTTAGTTTTGTACAATTATCCATTTCTTTACATATTTTGAAAATGTTCTCTTGATAGGCACATGTATACATTTACCCGTTTCTTTATTAAAATTAAGTGTCTGAATGATCATATGAAAAGTTAAGATTACATTGATTTTTATGAAAAATACCTTATGATAACATTACAAACTCTGCTTTATACTTTTAGAGTATTTTAAAATATTCATAGTATTTTCATACAACTCATCACTTTGACCCATATAATAATTCTAGGATGCAATGTAAGTATCGCCATCCTTATTTTATGAAGTTGATTTTTAAGCTCAAAAAATTAAGTAAAATACCCACAATCACATTACTACTTCAGTGATCTTTTTCTGCTACCAAACTACCTGCCATGAAAACACATATTTATGTATAATGTGCATTTTAATTATTACAAAGAAGATACAGGAATTATTCATTTTATATTGTTGGTATTTGCAGGCCCAATAGCTAAAATTTACATTTCAGTCATTCTTAATATTTCATACCTAAGTTTCCATTATAAGTTTTTTACCTATTTTCTAGAACACTTAACCTTTTTTTCCATCATGGAGACCATATACTTGCTAAGAAAAACTAAATTAACTATAGTTTTAGCTTAGTAACTACTCAGTGAGGAAGGGGTATCTATGTTATAGCAAATAGAATATGCATTATCTCTTCCATCACATATTCATTAGCAAAGAAAAGTTCTCATGCATTTAATCATTGGTTCATTTAAGCCAACATGTACTGGATGTGTGCTTTGAGTTAGGCTCTATATTGGATATTTGTAATGCATCGACGAGCAAGACAAAGTTGCTTTCCTTACAAGCTCACAACCTGGTAAAGGTAGTAAAATCTGGATAAATTCAGTGATGGAGTTATGAGCAAGTAAGAGGAAAAACAGAAATATCTTCAGAGGAGAAGTGAGACTTTTTTGATAGTAAATACAGAGAAAATAATTCATAGGTAGGATTTTATTTTAGTTTACTTACATTGTTTAAAGTCAGAATAAAGGATAGGATTTTTTTTGTAGTAGAGATATATGATCTGCTGATAAACGATAGATTGGGAACTAGAAGAATAACTGTATTTTTTCATTCTCTGTGGTATTTCTGAGGATTTAACCAATTATCCTGGGTTATTTTTCATATATAAAATAAGAAACACCAGAGTGTTCAAATAAGTTTGAGTATAACATAAAAATATTTGTAGCTTTTTATATATTATAAAGTCATTATAATGTGGCAATATTAGAAACAACTTCAGTGTAATTGCTCAAGTCCATGGACAAAGGTCATGGTAGTTTTGTAATTTCTTGCCTATCTCTTTACTGAACATCACATCTGGTTTTTTCTTATGGCCGGCCCTTAAACTTAAATTCCTTTCTTCCACATTGAGTCCTTATCTTAGATCGTTTTTTTCCACCGGATCTATATTCTTAGTCTCCTTCATTTAAAATACTGCCTTAAAAATCAGCTCCTTTAGGAAACGTTTGGTGAATAATCTTCTTTGTCCAGTTTACCCATAAAACTCTTTCCATTTTTTGTGTTGGCTCTCCAAAATTAAAAGTGTACCTCCCCTGTTGATTTTTCACAAAGTGGTATGTATTCATATTGGTTGTTTTCTCTCTTCTTCAAGCCAACGAGTCCGAACCGCGGTTGGTTTGTCCCACCATTTGGAAAAAACCCCTGGTGGGTGTACCTGGCAGCTGCTATCCCCGCTTTGTTGGTCACCATTCTCATTTTCATGGACCAGCAAATCACAGCTGTGATTGTCAACAGGAAGGAGCATAAACTCAAGGTAAATGTTTGTGGTAATGGTTATCATTGCCTTCTCCTTTCTTTGAAGTACTTGCAAACAAATATCAATTCAAATTAAGATGGTTTGATTGGGAGTTATATTATAACCACTGTTCCTGGCAGAGTCATAGGTCACGTTGTGTTGACACATTTCCTCAATATAATACTTTAGGGCGATTTCATTTAAATCCAAAAAAGTTGTTTCACGTTGTATTTCCTTAGCTGCTGAAGAGAGCAATTTCAGCACCAAACCCAGTTGTCGATTTATGGTTGCGAATATCTTTGGGGATTACTTTTTTTTTCTCTTATGAAATTACATCTCGTGGAAAGACCAAGAAAGGCATGTATTCCCATTGATAACATTATGATAACATTACAAACTCTGCTTTATACTTTTAGGGTTTTGTGGGGTTTTTTTAGTTGACCAATTTAGTATGCTGTATTTACAGTATCTTTGTTTTATTTCCCCTGTATCCCTAGGATTGACCTCCTGTTCATAGAGTTCAGAAGGTCATTCTAATCCAGTCTTACACCCTTAAGGACTCCCATGATCTCTCAGGGCAGGCTTGGACTCCAGGGCTTGCTGATTGTAGATTTCCTCTTTCTTGTTGCCATTGTTACTGTTTTTTTTTTTTTTATGTCTAGTTGTTTCTCTGACTTTCTGTCTGGTAGCCATGATTTGTATAAGATATTTTTTGTATCTTGTCAAGCAATTTCAGATGTTCTATACTGGGAGGGGTTCAGCATTGATTTAGTTTGAAAGACTGAAAATGGATGTTGACTAATATATTTTATTCTGAAAAAATTTTGCAAACATAACCTTCATTTTGATATATAGTTGGCCAGATTTTTATGTGTCTTTGGAGGTAAATAACTATTTTCATTTTGCTTAAGCTTTCTTATTAATAAAAATCAGAATTTTAATTTAGAAAATTTAGGATTGAAAAAAACAATTTTTAATTCTCCCATTCCCTGTAGAAAACATTGGAAAATCAAGACCTATTAGGATTTACCTCTTAGAAATAGGAGTTGAGTAGTAAATAAAAAATAAGTTTTCATCACTTTTGTAGTTGCTTATTTGAAGTCATTCCTTTGCATGATAATGTCTATAGAGTAAGTGCCAGTCTTCTGACACAAATCTAATGATACTAGTGGAGATTTCATCATGAATTAAAGGCTTTTCACTCTGGATATGGTTTTGTTCACATTTGTTAGTCAAGGAATGTGAAAATTGGAGATATTGTCTAAAATTATAAAGGTCCCTGACTACTATGAAATTGAGTCCAGAGAGAAACCTGAAATAGTGAGGGAGGTGGAAGCATTGTGATATTAAAAGCAGCATGGTTTTGGGTGGCATTTGCTTTGGCTCTGGGTCAAGTGGCACTGGCTGGCTGGAGGCTCTGTTTGGGATGGATCCACCTTTCCACTCTGCTGCACAGCTCTGTCTTGATGTAGGAACGCCAGGGCACTTGGCTTTTCTTTTTTGGCCATCATTTTGGTTAGTTTTCCCCACATCCTTGCAGAGCACTCCAAAGCAAACCAGGTTCAGCAAGGTCATGTCTTATCCAAGGTCATCCCCCGAATCATTACAGAGACAAGAAGAGTGAGTGAACTTCAGATCACAAAGCAAGGGATACTTCTCACAAGGAAAGTGATTTTAAGTGTTATAGATAGGGTGTGGGAGAGAGAAATAGTTTGGGATAGATATATATTAGGTGATTGTAGCAATAAATTTTGTCTGATATTCTCTATAATAAAACCCTAAATTTTAATGTGTTTTCTTGGATAACTAAAAAATCTGCCTTGCTTTCATTTTTTTCTTTTTATTCCTGCTGTCAAAACTTAGATCCTTTTATTTCATGTCTAGAGTATTCTAATTGTTTAGCTAATGGTTTAGTTAATAACCAGTCTCTTTTGCTTCATTCTAAAAGCAATAAATTTTCTTTTAAGTGTGTTTTTAACCCTGGCTGGTGTGGCTCAGTTGGTTGAGCATCAACCCAGGCACCAAGAGGTGTCTGATTAGACTCCCAATCAGGGCTCATGCCTGAGTTGCAGGTTTGATTCCTGGTAGAGGGAACAAGGCAACTGACCAATATTTCTCTCTCACATCTATGTTCCTCTCTCTCGTTCTCCCTCTTCTTTCCTCTCTCTGTAAAAATTAATAAAAATATTTTGTAAAAAGTGTAGTTCTTATATGTCAGTCCTCTATTTCTAAACCTTTATACCTTGGCCTCTACATCTTTGCCCCTTGAAGAAAATCAGTTTGCCTTAGCCTGGGATTTACTAGTAAGTCTCTTTGTGATATGGTCTCAGCCTAAATTTAAAATGATTCTCTTCACATACTGTACAATAATGTGGCCAAATTAATTGCTGGTTTCTCTTCAAGTCTGGCAGTTTTTCTGCTAGTTATCCCACTCCTTAGTGATTACCATTTATCATATATCATCAAAATCCTCACCATCCCTTAAGGTACTCCAAATATAAACATTTGTTAGTGTAACCTTCACTCCTAATGTAATTTCTATTGTTTATGTTTTTGCTCTTAGTAATTTTGTATTATTCTGTGGCACTGTCCACACACTGTCTCGCAAGGTAGATATTTTGTGTATTTACCTTATGTCCTTTTCTGGGCCAACACGTTTTTAAGCTAAAGACCATGTTTTAGTCCTGTTTTCCACTCTCATGTGGCCCATCACATGATTGCCATATAGCAGACTCAATAAATACGCATTGAAGAATTTTGTTATCTTGGGCGACATGGTTCTCAGAGGTGTTGCACTGTTTGAAATGGGTGATAACTGGAAACCATGCCAGCCCATCTCCAGTTCTCATAGTGAGTGCTTATAGTATTCCATACCTGTTTAGATGTCATCACTGCAGGAATTTTTTGGGTTCTTTCTAGACCTAGTTAAACACTTTATCCTCTGTTCTTTTGGGTATCTCTTTCGAACTTCTTTGAATATGTATTTGGATTGCATGTAGTTTGTGTACAAATCTAAGTCCTCTCATCCTATTGTGAGCCCTTTGGTGGGAAGAACTATGTCATGGTTCTCAGTGTGCCTATACACCTTTATTGTCTGGATCATGGGGGCTCCTAGCGTGAATGCTTATTCTGTATCTATGCATATGTGTATATTGCTCTTGACCCCTTTGTAATATTAACAGATGTAAACTTCAGATTGTTGGGCTAGTCTTTTTCTCTCATCATTTATTTCTGTATTTGCATTCCTAAATTACTTAGGCTTTCTATAACAAAGCATGTACAGCATCAAAAGGAAGTGAAGTTTCACTTCCTATCTCTTTACTTAAAATAATCTCCAGTTTCAGAAGGTAGAACATCCTTTGGATTTGTATTCTTGAAGACAAGGAAGTTTTTTAAACTTTAAAGGTTATACTTAACCTTTCAAGCCTGTATTAATCCTTGCTATGTATGGAGCATTCATGTTAGATGTTGAAGATAAAAATCGTTCTAAGTTATGGTCTCAATGTGTTTATGGAAAGGAAGACTTTTTGAAGAGAGTGATGTTAAGAGGCACAGAGTAATTATCTATGTATTATTTTGCCCCAGAACTTTTATTTATTCTGGTGCTTTTGCTTTCTCAGGTTTGTATTCTGCTTTGTAAAATCCTCATATTACCTCTTTGGTATTATGTGGTCCCTTTTTGCCAGTCTCCAGGATATTTTACTCAAACTTCTTTTAGTCGAAAGAGTTTAAGAAAGCATCAAGATAGCTCATAGCATAGATTTTTCTGCAACAGCTAATTCTTTTGACCCATTGATCTGGCCAGTGTCCACATCTTGAGGTTATTACAGCTTTCTTGGAGACAAGATTTGGGGATCCTGCCTACTAACTACCCTGGTGGTACCTCTAATATAGTCTTGAGTGATTTAAGCTAAATAGGGCTTAAAACTATGTGATATTCCCAGCTGCTGTCAACTTCCATTCCTTCCCCCCAAAATGACTCATATTTCTACCAATTAACAAATAAAGTTTTAATTTTTTGAATGGCCAATAAATAAATTATAGTTGACATTCAGAAGAATGTATACATCCTATTTGTCATTCATTTTTTAAAAATATTTTTTATTGATTTTAGAGAGAGAGGAAGGGAGAGAGATAGATAGAAACATAGATGAGAAAGAAACATAGATCAGCTGCCTCCCGCACACCCCACTGGGGATCGAGCCTGCAACCTATCGAACCAGAGACCTCTTAGTTCATGGGTCGATGCTCAACCACTGAACCACACCATCTTGATTGTCATTCAGTTTTTAGTAAAGATTAATTGAAAATTGACTATATATCATGCACTCTGCTAAAGTATTCAGGATACAGTTGCAGTCCTATTGTTACTCATAGTCTAATGTCAAAGACAGATAAATACATATACAACTTTAAAACAGTGCGATGAGTGCTGTGATCGAGGAAAGCATGAGATAACAGATAGAAAAACATGAAAAAGGAGACCTAACCTTAAGGAACTCAACCATCTCATCTGACTGAGGCAGGAAAAACTACCAGAAAAGGTGAAGACTGATTTGTTTTAAGAATGAGTAGTCCTGAGCCAATGGAAGAAGAAGGCAGAGTAGCCGTTATTCCAGGTATGGGGTGCTGTGTGGGCAAAGAGACAAAGGCATTAGTGAGTAAGATATATTCAAGGAATTACATGTGGTTGAAAGTAGTCATGGCATAGGAATCAAGCAGGGGACAGGTGAACGGTGAGGTTACAGATGTGAACAGAAGCCATATCATGAGTGGCATATAGCAAGGTCATAAGACACATCCCCAGGCAGGAGTGAACACACTCTGTAAGTGCCACCTTAAGGTATAATCAGAATCCAAACAGTTCTTGCCGTCTTTACTGCTGCCTCTCTCGTTCTATCACGAGCTCTAACATGGAACTTGTAAGTTAGGAGATCTTATGTCCTTGAGCCTCTTCAGGCTGTTCCTAACACAGCAGCCATCGTGCTTAGAACATAAGCAAATCCTGCCATTCAGTGGCTTCCCATGTACTCAGCGTACAAGCCCAAGTACTTCTAGTTCCCTTAGTGCTTATTACTCTTTAAGATATGGGGTAGTTTACTTATTTATGTTGTTTATTGTTATCTCTCTTAGTAGAATGGAAACTCCATAAGTGCCGGAATCTTTGTCTATTTTATTCTCAAGTGTGTCATCAATACCTAGGAATATGCCTATTAATAAATTTTCAGTATTTGTTGAAAGAATGAATGACTGGGCCCCCAGATATATCATGATAATTATCTCATTTGTCACTGTTTAATGAGTTTATGTTGGCCATCCCTACCTTCGTTCTCCTTTCCCCTACCTTACTCCACTCCCACTTCAAACCATTATGCTTTCAAACCACTGACGCTGAAATGAACTGGTTTTATGAATATGTATTAATCTCTTTGTCTCCCAAAGAGATTTTTGTTCTTAGTCAAACTTGGACTCAGTAAATTTATGCTTTTTTTTCTTGTGTCAGCTCCCCTTGCCTGTGATGAGTTCTGTGAGAACATGATTAGACCCATGTGTGTGAGCCAGGGGTGAAATCTTGGCCTTTCAGAGAGAGGAAAGCAGTGTTCTGACTAACTGTAACAGGATCTGAATCAAAACAGTCACTGGGTTCCTAGTGTAAAATCACATTCTCATTTTTTAAAGCCAATGTCTCCATTCCCTGGGATTGGTCATATTCTGGCTCTTGGTGCTGCTGCTTTCATGCTGTGAAAATGAACTGCTCTATTTTCTCAGGCTCCATAGGGGCATTAAGCATTTGATTTCTTCACAAATAGAACAGAGAAACAGAACCATAGAATAACATTGTGGACACATTTGACAATATTTATTTAGTGAGTAAAAGAGTTAGACCTTTTGTTACGTTGTCTGCTCTCCCAGTCAATAAATGTTATTGTGACCATTGGGCAATGTTTGAAATCAGCCTATTCTGGTTATGGGGATATTCATTACCTTCATGATAATGTGCAGCAGATTATAAACAGTTATTTTCATCTACTATGAAAGGTGAGAAATGGTCTTCTACATAGCCTCTCAAGGTTGCTTTCAGATCTTTCGTCTACATATGCTGAATGCTGTCTAGGTGAACAGCATACTGCTAAGCAGTTGAGCAGAGACAGCACAATGCCTGCTTTTAAGGTGCTTTTCTTGCTTATGTTAATACCAACCAATATCCCTATTGCTACTATTACCACTTATTGAGCTCCTGCTATGTAGCAACCACTGCAAGATGCTTTGCTTCTGTTATTTCATTGAATGGTTCCAATACTCGTCAAGGTAGATGTGTATCTCTGTTGTTGATTACAAAATTGGATGCAGAGAAGATAAGTAACAATAAACACATAATAAGTAACCAGTCATACATCAAGCTAGAAGAGGTGTAATGTGGCCACTTGGTGTTTAATCGTGAGGGTGAATAATAGGACAATGAAGTCACTTCACTCAAAGAGCTTACCTTTTAGTAGAAATTTTTATCGAGCAAAGCGAGTTGGTTTCTTTGACTAATCTTAATTCCCACCGGGGGCTATGACTTGATAGCAATATGAGTATTTTCTTCATGTGGTTTTGTTACCTCTTCCCACAGAAAGGAGCTGGATATCACCTGGATCTCTTTTGGGTGGCCATCCTCATGGTGGTGTGTTCCTTCATGGCTCTTCCATGGTACGTGGCTGCGACTGTCATCTCCATTGCTCACATCGACAGTCTGAAGATGGAGACGGAGACCTCTGCCCCTGGAGAACAGCCCAAGTTTCTTGGAGTGAGGTATGTGAAGTCAGAAGACAGTGACTCTACAGAACACCGTGTGCACACATCCACATGTCAATCATAAGGAAATGGGAAAATATGGAGGAGAAAGGGCTAGTGATGATTAATTTATTCCCATACTTCCTTTTCTAGAAAGGACTAAATTTTTCATCAGAGAGTCCTCAATAATTTTTTTGAGTTCGCTTCTTATGATAACTAAATTTTCTTTGATTTATGAAAGGCTAAGTGATACAATGTAAAAATGCAAACAGGTCATTCATTTCTTCAACATGCAGGTCCTTCTGATGCTGTGGTACTGACTCTAGCATATCACATATAAAGACCAAACCCTTTCATCTTTTAGCCCTTTTGAGACTCCCTAAAACTCTCGAGTCGGCTTATGATTTTTAAGATTCTATGAAGGGAAAAGAATTCTTATTTTCCAGTTCATTTTTGATCCCCATAAGCCTGAGAAACTTTGACCTTTGGCTGTTAAACTTGAGTAGCCATGAAGGACTTTACAGGACCTTTATAGGCTGTTGTCTACTTTTTACAGCAAACCCTGCCCCTCAGTGCTGGGGTGAATAGCTCACATGACAAAGCCTTCGTTTCCCACGCCACAACAGTGGGTGATTCTTTCTTGGGGGCCGGGGGAGGGGGTGTTGTATGGGAATCATATTTGTTAAAAAGTACTTTTGTTGTTGTAGATTTGGAAATTAGACTGATGAGATTTTATTGCACTTATGAAATTTCCCTGAGCTGTTTATTAATTAGAATGTGGGACAATGTAATATCTGTCTCCTGTGAAAGAAGGTGTAATTACACAACAGTTCAAGTTGTTTAAAAAATAAGGGCTTCAAAGAGGCCCATAATTGTTGGGCCAAGAGCAAGTGATTTTTTTTTTCTTTCTTGATTTTAAAAGGAGCATAGGATTTAGCAGAATCAGTTTCTTCTTGATGAATTAAAATCACATATTGCAATAGTTTTAAGAGAATTTTATATTTATGTTGAGCTTATATGCTGTCCTTGAGGTATTAATTACATATGATATCAACACCTTTGCTATGTTAGCCAAACATTGATTCGGTCAATGTATAGTCTTTTTTGAAGGTGGAAAAACAAGAGGTAGATTGGTAATCTTTTGATTTGGTTTCAGGGAACAAAGAGTCACTGGAACACTTGTGTTTATTCTGACTGGTCTGTCAGTCTTTATGGCTCCCATCTTGAAGGTAAATATGTGAAATATTTCGTCCTTTTCCAATACTGGCAGATAACTGATATGTGAAGAGTAGAATTTCTTGTGAAACATCTGCAGGACTCTCATTAGTTCTATAACACACTGAAGCCGTGGTCAGATAGAATGAGGACTTTAAAAAACTTTCATCTTGATTTTCTTCTCACTCCTATACTCTATCATTATTGTTATTATTATTATTGTTGCAATTAGTTGGTTTAAACTATATTAAATTACCAATATTCCAACCTTTGACCTATGAAAATGGCAACTGCATATGATTCAACCTGATTTTCCCCCACCCCACATATTTTATCCCCTTAGTTTTCTTGCATCCTTTCTTCCCATCACTTTCCATTTACTTTCTCTAATTCCCGCCCCCTTTCCTCCCCATAATAGACTCCTGGATAACATGAGTGACTCAGTATAATCATTTTGCAATTTTTCCCCTATTCTTAATCATTACTGACTATTTCTATTTCCTTTGAATAAGAAGGCCTAATATTCACAAAGGGCGAATACAGTAAAATTATTAATTTATAATTAGAAAACTTAGAATTGAACTTTTTTTCAAATTATTAGAGAAATTTTATTTAGAAAGTTACAGAGGTAGTAGAAGTGAGACAGCGGGGCTGTGCAGGCTCAGGGAACAAGTTATAGAAGCAAAAGAAGGGGCCTTGGAGCTTAGAGGAAGGAAAGGCAAAGGTAACGTGCCTCGGGGGGAAGAAACAGTGGTCAGGAAAGGCTTGGACTTGCTCCCGAGAGAGAGCACATGCCTAGAATTGAATTTTTGAAGAAGGGAAATGATATGGTAGGTTATTTAGAAAGTTATGAGTCAATATAAAGGTTTGATTGATAGGGTGAATGTCTGCCTAAATAGATAAATATAAACTACATGTGAAAGCCTACTTAGAAACAGAAATAGGATTAAAACAGGTTCAGATTAGTACATACTTGTCATGAAACTTCCCGTTTTCTTTTGTGACACAAGCATTTTATTTCCTTGTGTATCATATAAACAGTACTAGCCAGTTATTGATAATTTGTATCTTATGCTTTGAACCACAATGCAAAGCACCACAGTCACCTATAAACCAATAGCCATAAACAACTGTTAGCAATATCCTTCCAAAGTTTTTTCTGACAATTTTTTTATTTTTAAACAATTCTAATTTACAAGGTTTTTAAAATGCGTATTTAATTGCACAAGTAATGAAATAGTACACTCTTGTAAAGAATTCAAACAATACAGGACAGATGGTGAAAGGCAAAAACCATCCATTTCTCTCAGGTTAGAACATTATATGTCAATCGCCAATCAGATGAATTTGAGAACAATGAAATTATAAATTCTTAACATATAGATAAGATTGACTTTGCCTTTAGGATACTTAGATTAATGCATAAATTATGCACAAAATACCTGGTGAACAGTTAAAAGATTTAAATATTCATCTTTCATCCTTGGTTTCCACAATGTCAATTAACTGGTTTAATTCCTTTTTTGACTGCAATCAGGAGGGAATATGTATCTCATGCAACACATGGAGTAGTAAAATTAAAAATAACTTTACAGAAGCCATTTCTGATTATAGAGAGAGGACCTTAAAAGAGTATAGATCTTATGTTCTACAGCAGCAATTTTCAACCTTTTTCATCTCCTGGGACACATAAACTAATTACTAAAATTCTGCCACACACCAAAAAATATAACTTTTGCTGATTTTACAAAAAAACAGATAAAATTTTGATTCACTATCAGTGAATGGCTATTGTGTTGGCTGTTGTCATTTTCTATTTGACACTGTAAAGGAAAATAAGTCAGTTCCCCTGACTAAGTAATCAGGTATTGCATGTTTTAAAATTCCTTGCAGTGCAGCCCCAGCAAGGTGGCTCAGTTGGTTGAGCATCTTCCCCCAAAACCAAAAGGGTTTCAGGTTCAGTTACTGGTTAGGGTGAGTGGTGGTGGTGGGGCAGCTGCTTGATGTTTCTCTGTCACACTGATATTTCTCTCTCTCTCAAATCAATTTTTAAAAAATTCTTCCAGCACAGATCGAAAATCCCCGTTCTACATGGACAGGGGGAAATCTATTGTTGCTCTTGCCAGTGCACAGCAAGTGGTGGGGTAGGGCTCCCCAGCATTAAATCCACTGCCAAAGTGCTTTCCGTTCCTGTGCTGTCCCAGAGACAGCAGCACGTCAGCTGATGGGAAAATCTAGTGACAACTTTTTACCACATGGACACAGACCTCATCTGCAGACATCAGTTATTAGAGAGGTCATTGCTGCAGTTCTGACCCCATGTGTGGGAAGCTGTACTGGGAATGAATCTGCTCCTGGGCTCCCTGGAGGTGGGCTTGCTTGGCACACTGCAAAGTTTCTTTTATGGGGTCTTTTATACTTGGCCATTATTAGACAAGGAGTAATATACAAAGATCTTTCCATCAGTTCATATTTATTCATCTCCGCCACACACACACCCATTGTTTCTTTTATTTTTATACTAGAGGCCCAGTGCACGAATTCGTGCACCAGTGGGGCCCCTTGACCTGGCCTGCGGGATCAGGCCGAAACCAGCTCTCTGACATCCCCCACGGGGTCCCAGATTGCGAGAGGATGCAGGCCAGGCTGAGGGACCCCACCAGTGCACGGTCGGGGCCAGGGAGGGATGCGGGAGGTTGGCCAGCTGGGGAGGGACTGTGGGAGGGCTCCAGGATGTGTCCGGCCTGTCTCACTCAGACCCAATCGGCTGGACCCCAGCAGCAAGTTAACCTACCGGTCGGAGTGTCTGCCCCCTGGTGTTCAGTGCACGTCATAGCGACTGGTTGACTGTCTGCCCCCTGGTGGCCAGTGCACATCATAGCAACTGATCAACCAGTCTACTGTCTGCCCCCTGGTGGTCAGTGCACATCATAGCGAGTGGTTGAGTGGCCTTAGCATATCATTAGTATATTATGCTTTGATTGGTTGAATGGATGACGAGACACTTAGCATATTAGGCTTTCATTATATAGGATTATTTATTTTCATTAGCACAAAGTCAGATGTGTTTAAAGTTCTTTAGTTGTTACAGCAAATTGGCCTTCATCTTGGAGACTCTGTCAGCTGAGGAATCATGTGTGACTCCAAAAAGACACAAAGAATAGATACTATATAAGTTGCTATTTTTCGGATGAGATGCAAAACTCACATTTTCAACACTTCCTGTTTTCTCACCATGCACCCAAATATGGCTGAAAAAGAATTAAAGCTGAAAACATTTTTGTTCTTTCTTTTCCAGTGGTTCTTTTTGCCTCGGATATGCAAAGAACCTTAGTATCTACAGGAACAAATTAGAATGCAGAGAAAGGAAAAGGAGAGATGTAAGGGATCAAAGGGATCAGCGAGCATGAGCTCACTTTTCCTTTGACCTCCCTTAAGTGATCCAAGCTTTGCTCACCCTCATTAAGCTGCTAGAGTCCATAACTGTGGCTCTTTCCACCTCCTACTTTAGGTCAATGCAAAGAGTCATTGTAGGGATCAGTGAAAAAGGCAGTTCAGCAAACAGTTTTATTAGGCAAGACTTTGCCCAAAATGTGGGACATGAAATTGTTTTGTTAATATAGTTTCCAACATATTGTGGGAAACCTAGGTTTAAAAACAAGAGTAAAATAGTATAGCAATGACTACTGTGATTGTTTCTTTAAGTAATTACAACTATTCTTTACTTTAACAATCATCGCTGATAAAGTCAGCTAATTTTATTTATTTATATTTATGTATTTATTTTTATAAATGAGTTTGTTTTCATTGATTTTATAGAGAGAGGAAGGGAAAGGGAGAGAGAAAAAAATCAATCGACTGCCTACTGCATGCCCTCTATTGGGGATCCAGCCGACAACCTGGGCATGTGCCCTGACCAGGAATAAAACCAGGACCTTTTGGTGCATGGGAAGATGCTGAACCAACTGAGCCACACCAGCCAGGGCAAAGCAGCTAATTTTAGACCACATGTCCTTTTTATCATTAAAGTTTGATGTCATATGCATTCACCACAGAACTGTTGTAGCTCATTTGAAAAGTCAATGCAGGAAGAAGGAGATGTTAAGGGTAGAGTTAAACTAAAACCTAAGTTACCCGTGAATCAGAGTTACAATTAAAAGTCAAGATTAACAATTAACCTCAGAATTTACACAGAAAAGCATGATGGGGGTTACCTTGGAGGAGGGAAACTTCCCTCCCACCACCCTCACCGTGTGACTGTGTGTGTTTTAAAGAAACAGGTGACACCTTTAGAGAATGGTTTTGCTTAAGAGTTTGCCTTAAAAGGCAGATCAAATGAATGGGATTGAGAGAAATGTGTGACTTTTACTTTTTAAAATGAAATGGCTCAACATGTCATCCCTCACAAGTTTCATGGCCTCAGATGATCCTAGTCATTTTCTCCCATGCATTAAGCTGTATAGGAAGTTATTTTCTGCCCCTGCTTAGGCAGGCTTACTTTGAACATGAAGTTTATGACCTCTGTTTTGATCTCTTTGCCAAAATCTGTCTTTTCTACATGGAAGAATATAAGGAATCATAGTGTAGTAGCTTTATTAAGTTCACAAGGATACCCCTTGACCTTAGCCAGCTACGTCTTACATGCCCAGATCTCACTACTGATTCAATGCAGAACTGTTGGGAAGCAGGCATAACTGGCTTCCCAGGCTGGTTAAACCTTTCAGATGTGTGTTTCTGTTTGGGAGACTAAAGAGCAGCAAAAGATGAAAGGTAGCTTACTTTTCTCATTCCTCTGGCAAGCCTAAAGAAATAAAGATCGTGTAAAGTTCACTGCTACCTCTGTTGCCTTTGCTTGAAGTAGTTTATCAACAGGAGGAGTGGTGGCCAAAATTTATCTTTCAGATTGGTTTAGTGTTCTAAAATGTGAAGGGTAGCAAAGAATTAGTACTTGGCAAACATTGGTTGAACTCCTACAATATGCCACACACCCTGCTCATTAACAGGGAAATACAGATAAACAATAGTGATGATGATGATGATGATAGTGATTGTAATAGTAGCTTCCATTTATTGAGCTTGGTATTGGACTAAGGGCTCAGTACAGATTTTTAACATTTAGTTCTCCAATAACACTTACAAAACTATCTTAATAATTGCACTCATTTTTCAGATAAGAAAAATGATGAATAACCAGTCAGGTCACAACATTCTTAAATGGCAGAGCCAAGATTCGATCTTAGGCAGTCTGGCTCCAAAGGTTGATTTCATAACCATCAGAGTTTACCTCCTTTTAAAATAAAACAGTACTTACTGTCAAATAATTCATTCAGTTTCATTTCCCATGAGGTGATCTTTTCCAGCCTCTTTGATCCATTTTCCAATTCTCTCATATGGAGAGAAATGTGGCATTTTCACAAACTGATCGTACCTCACTCCACAGTTTCTTCAATGACGAGGGAGCAGTTTACAAGTCAGCAACTTTCATATTAACCCAGATTTGTAAGACTTAAGGGCATTGGGATGTTATTTTAATAACATGTTCCTAAAGGCAGCTGTTATAGTTGAAAGGGCAATACTGTAGAGCTTAAATAAAACCCAGGCTTCAAGTCTGACCTTTGCAGCAATCCTTCTGGTCTATACTCCAGTCCGTGTCCTCCCCCCCTTCCCTCCCCCACCCGGGAGGGACCAAAGAGAGTTGTGCTTTGCAGCTGCAGGCTTTTGACTTGGCAGTGCAGGTCCTGATAATGACATCAATGCCACATTTATCAGTTATTGAAGATTATTAGGCAGACCTATGCTGTCTGATTTCTGTGCCCATGCTCTTAAATAGGACTTTGTTCAGAGTTTTATACCCCACCCCCTCACCCTCTACCACACACCACACACTCCCCCCCCCCCCCCCGCCACACACACACACACACACACACACACACACACACACACACACATTATTTTGCTGGGAGGCCTCACTCCTGTACTGAAGTCTGTGCTGTGGATAACTACAATCTATCTTTCTTATTAGACTTACCCTTTTTGCATTTTTTCCTTATGGAAATAATCTAACACTATCAGAAAAATAAAAGGGAAGGAGAAGTGAAAGAAAGTGGAATGACAGTCACCAGAATTTGGTCATTTCAATGACCTAGTCTGAATCTGACCTAGTCTCAGTATGTTCGTCTTCATTGACTTCATCTCAGTTTCATTATTCTGTCTGGTTGTAGGATCAAGCACGTAATTTTTTCATTTTTATGTTTATTAAAGGCATTATAATATTTTTTATAATTATACTTTTTGGCTTTCTGGGTATGATTGATTAAATAATTTTCTTTGCATAATTTTATCATTTGGCAATTCTTATTATGCCTATAAACCTGGTATACCTTGTGTTTTAATTTCTCCTGCCTTGCTTTGTAAAAATAGGTCTATCTCCTCTAACTAGTTATATTATTTTAACTTAAAAGAGGATCCCATCTTTTAAAAACACGTTCTTCTTTCCATCCTCGGGCAAAATTTTTGTTGTGATGAATGATTCCATTGTAATGAATTTTTAAAGATTGACCTCTGATGTGACTCATTAACCAAATCCAATAAGAAATATCCTCTTACTCAGTAATTCTATTAAAATTTATCAAGATTTCCACACTGGGAGGTTTTTATTGAGACACTGCATTACTGTACAGAAAATGGTGAATTTCACAAGGCATCTGTATCACAATGAAGTTGGCCGAAAATCTAATTAATAGTCTCTCTTGTATGTACTGTTTCCTTTTCACCATTGGATCATTTTTTAAAACATCTTCATATCTGAAGCTGTTTTCCTACCCATACCCCATGCCGTTCTGAGTTATTGGTGAATTCTGATTTTTTTGGTGGTAGATTCAGTAACATTTGTCATCATAAGTTCAGAAAGAATAGGCCTGGGCACAAGCACAGCTTGCCTCCACTTTGGCATTAGAACCACATTAGAGAAAATATGAGCGAAGCCAAGGTGAGGGGTGGACACAGGGCCATGATCACCTTTGTGATTACTTTCCTTCAAGCCAGGAGAGCACTTTATACAGATTAAAAAGTAACTCCTGCAGGGCTTCTAACCAGTTTCCCATGAACTGTATGTCTCTTTCCCCCCTCCCACCTTTCTTTTCTCCCCAAGAAATTAGAAATAAAATGACAAGAAGGAAATCATCCTGTATTAAGGAACAATGGCGGTGCCCCTGCCTGTGGAACGTATTTTAAAAATTAAGAAAGGAGTCAAAGCGATAAAATGGTGCCGTTGTTAGTTTCATTTCTTACTTTGTTGTTGTTGTTGTCAATTCATACAGAGTAATGGCAAGGAATGGAACATTCGCATTCTAAAAGGAATAAAGGCACGTGTCAGAACTCCAGTGGCTGGAGCGTGATGTGCTCACCTCTTTGTGGGGACTAGTGGGCATTACAGCACACAGGGCTCCCCCACCACTCACACCATCCCTCCCACCTCCTTCAACGTTCAATGTCATTTACTTTCCTTTGAGCTGAAGGTCAAATTACCTATGTTAAAATTCTTAGTCTTTTTTAGAAGCACGTGATGTTTTATGGACATAAGTGTATTTATTCCATATAAACTTAACCATTCCTCTAACAAACCAATAACAATTGGAGATCCCTGTGATATTTTGAAATTTGCTATTTCCCCAATAGTGACCAAAGGCTTTCATACTGATACTGAGGTACTCACAAAGAAAGGCTGATAGAAATTGTGCATCACTTAGCACGTGCAATAGTTCTTTAAAAATGACTCTAAAGTCATTCTGTTGTCTTGCTACAATAGCCTACTTTATGTAGATGAGGTAAGATTGGGCTTAATTGATTGTGGTTTTAGCTTTGAAAACTCCTGAAGTTACTTGAGCTCCTTTTCAAAATAGAACCTTGGGAACCTTGGTTGGTGCAGATAGAAGACTTCCCAGAAGCTCATCCTTGACACGCTTCATCCTTGGAGTCCTAGGGAATAGGACTGGGAATAGATAAAACTTTCAAACAGCACAGTGGAACGTCCCAGTCCCATTGTCAAACTGCTTTGTATAATGTAAAAAGACTCCTGCTAATTAAAGCATGAAACGTATTAATTTAGTTCTGAAAGCTGTGTATTAATCCCTGTGTGGAATTAATTGCTTGCAGATGCTTGATGCTCCTTTCAAGCGGTGTTCTCATTAGTGAGTTCCCAGTATTCCTGAGGAGAAGAAAGGGGACAGTCGTTTGATGCTTTAGTTGAAAGAAGCATTTAAACACCAAGTAGATAGATCATTTGGTAAAAATTATTAAGGAAAAAAATCAATAGACTGTTGGGCAAAGAACTTGGCCTCAGGAGTGAGGTGACCGACCCTCTGCCCCTCTTTCTACCTCACAGCTCATGCAAACATCTGGCTTACATAGTCATTCCTTTTAAGGCGAAAAGCAAACAAACTTTTTCCCCATTAAAAAACCTACTTATTAAGGTCATGCATGCTCATTGTAAACAAATACAAACAGGCATCAAATGAAAATTCAATGTCTCCTTCACCTCCATCTATTTCTAGTACAGAGGGTTGAAGTTTGTCAATGATTACCAAAGCACACTAATTAGAGATCATTATATTATTACGTTCTATCTTTTAGTTTCAGATTTAGCTTTTATTTAAACTACCCCTCTCCATTACTGTATTTGCTATTATTATTATTATTTTTAACTGGTCTCCAATTTTTTTCTTTCCTAGTTTATTCCCATGCCTGTACTCTATGGCGTGTTCCTGTATATGGGGGTAGCATCCCTTAATGGTGTCCAGGTAAGTTTTCCATAGCCACCTAAGTACAGTCAAGTTTTCCTAGTAGTAAGGCTAGTCCAGTAATCGATCTCTGAAAAGGAAAGTGCTAATTATTTGCTAAGTTTTTAAAGTGCATTTATTTTCTACTTTCTCTACCATTATCTACTTTTCATTTTCTGATTTAATTAACAAAGTTAGCTTGTGTTAACAAATGTTATCATACATACCCATTCTTAAAACAGGCTGTTAAAGGTCATGTGATCAGGAAAGTAAGAGAGCTATGATCTACCTTCCTTTCTTCTTTCTTTCCTCTCTCTCTCTCTCTCTCTCTCTTCCTTCCTCTTCTTTTTTTCTTTTCATCTCAAAAAGGAAATCAACCCTTTCAGTGTACTCTTCAAGATACTATTTGCCATTTGCCTTTACCTATACTGAGAACGGGTTCTTCTTATGTGATGTACTTTTTACATGACTGGATTCAGTGATCAAAGTTTTGAACCAATAAAAAAATAAAGTCAGTGTGGTTTATGTATTACTTTTGTTGAAATCTTCAGCTATTCACAACTTTGGTAAACTGTCCCCCTTTAAAAAAAGTCATTAGAGAAAACTTTGTCTTTCCATTGAGGTTTAATTTAATTGGCACTGGGAAACTGGAAGTCCTTCTGCTGATTTCTGGCATCTTGTTAGCTGAAGCCTTATTTAGCACTTAGTAACATTTTAATGGGAAAAGACAGCATGTTCTGCGAACACCCTAACAATTTATTTAAACCCGTTCATAATTGTCCTTGCTTTCATTTCATTTATTGAGTTTAGATTAATTTAGTTTTAGAGTCAGCTAGAGCTGGACAAGTGGCCAGACTCCCCAGAAGAGAAAAGGCTACTTTATTTTTCCTTATTTAGGCCCATTAAGTAGAGTTCTTCGCCATTTGGTTATTTGTTACAAAACACAAGGCGGTTTTCAGAGATTGGACTAGATGACGATGCATGCGTGTTTATTTGTGCCTATGAAACTTTGGGGCAGATAAATGTATCAAAATATTATATTTGTCCCTGGCATTGTATATATTGTTTACTCTCCTAAGTGGAAAGATGTGAAAATAATGTGACCTTCAAACTAATAGTGCTTATTTTTGTTTAGCTTTGAAAGGTCAGTCTAGATAAGAAGTTTGATTGTATGCATTCTAAGTGCTTGATTGATGGTTAGAGCTCCGTACATGTTTATTAAATAGAGGAAAGACATCTATATCACAGTGACGGGGAAACCCTTTGTGAAGGGAAAGATAGTCGCGTTCTAAAACTCGGCTGTTGTCCGTATTGCCTTTTCTCTCTTTTCCTTACTTTCCTCTTGATTCTTCCTCTTTTAGAACTTTTGGCAAGATTTGATTTTAGCAGGAAATTTTGTAACCCGATCTTTATAAGCAGCAAGGCCCTCAGAGACTGTTGCCTGTGATAGTCTAGTTTTCTTTTACACTTCTCCCTTCCCTCCAGAGAGAAAGCTGGGATATTATTTCAGAGTTCTTGTTGCATAATAACTCACTTTAGCAGTTATGTACTGAGCATCTTTCATCGGAAAGATCGTATGATGGGTATGGAGATATCATCCTTGTAATCATCATCAGTGTAAATTCAACAGCTATTCTGTGAAGCACAGCACCTGGCACCCAGGTGCTCGGCAGTGGTTTCAATACCTGCTTATACACGACGGTGTGACAGCCTCTCCAGGATTCTGCTATCTGGTTGTGGACACTCTGAAACTCACTGTAATTAATATTCACATGGCTTTTCTCTTTTAAAAATGGTAGTGCATTGCTGAATGTGTTACTTATGCCATAGATAATGTGGAGTTAATGAAAATGCCAGTGCATCCCCACTTTCAAGTTGGATACTTCCTTTATGTCTGTGAAACATCCCTGAAATGTACATGACACATAGCTGCATCTCCTCCTCTTTCAGATAAGACAACAAAGGTAGTATAAGATGCATTAGTGTAAGATACGTTAGTTATGTGTCTTGCTTCTGCATATCATTATTAAAGTAGTCACAAGATCCTCTGTCCCAAGACTCAGATAGTATGGATAGAAAGAGACGAACGTCTAGAATTTATAGTGTGCTTTGGAACTTTATTCTTGGAGGCCACTTTATCTCATATGTCTGCATAACGTTCCTGCAAAGTAATGAAAATCGCAAGACTCCTACAATGTCTAATGGTGCTGGTTAGGCTAAATTTCTGCACTCCTTGACCACTGTCCTCTGGAAGAGATACTGCTTGCCCAAATTACAGGGTGTGAGTCACTAGTGGAGAGTTGGGCATAATGGAAATGACCTCGTGCATCCGCTCTTGAAGTAATGCAGCTGTTCTCTCCTCCCCTTCTGCTCCCCAGTTCATGGATCGCCTGAAGCTGCTCCTGATGCCTCTGAAGCATCAGCCTGACTTTATCTACCTGCGCCATGTCCCGCTGCGCAGAGTCCACCTGTTCACCTTCCTGCAGGTGTTGTGTCTAGCCCTGCTCTGGATCCTCAAGTCAACCGTGGCTGCTATCATTTTTCCAGTCATGGTAGGGATTTCTTTCAAATGAACCTATCCATGAGGTCATACCAATATCATGTGGTTATGGTGATATGGGAGACACAGGTATCTTTTATGTGTGGTTCCAGTTTTTTCCAGCTTTGACTAAATCCTTTAGATTGGCTCAGTTGTAATGTAAGGTTCCTCTGCCTGTGACTGTCTACACTGGGCCTCAGAGTCAGACTAAGCTGAGTTCAGATTCCGGCCCTGGTTCGTGCTGGTTGGTGAAACTCCCTGAGCTGCCATTGACTTATCCATAAGATGAGGAATGTTATTATTCTGAGCATCAGTAATGAATATCAAATATATAGCACAACGCCCGGCACATAGTAGACACCAGTACACATTGGTTATTTTTAAAATACAATAGAATTTTGTACAATAGAGTCAATGTAACAAAGTTATGGTGGATTTCAGTCCAAATAATAGCGGACAAATTGGGAAACTTATGAGAGGTTATCCAGTCAATTAGAAGAAAAGGAATGAGAAGTTTCGCTTTTGAAGGTCTTGCTAGTTTCATCATGCTAAATTAAAGTCTGGGCTCTCTATCCTTGCTGTGATATGGTGAGATGTACTGGGTGAAAAGGTGAAAGGATTAGGAAGTAGACTAGTAGTTACAAGACAGACACAGGGACGTAAATGACAGCATATGAAATATAGTCATTAATATTGTAATAACTGTGAATAGTGCCAGGTGGGTACTGGAAATATCAGGGGGATCACTTGGAAAGTATATGATTATCTAACCACTATGCTGTACACCTGAAACTAATCTACACTAATAAAAGAGAAACATGGTAATTAGCGTACGACCGCTACCCTTTTCATTGGCTAATCAGTGAGTATATGCAAATTAACTGACAACCAAGATGGCGGCCGGCAGCCATGCACTGAAGTGAACAGGGAGGCTTGCTTGCTCCAGTGACTGGCGGACTCCAACGTTCCCCACCTGCCGCTGCCGGCCTCTGACCTGGCAGTTTGAAACATTGTAACAAATATAGAAGCTAAACAAAACCCCAGAAACCAGCTTTTAGCCGCCGGGATCTCAGAGCTGGAGTTATACATTGTTTCGATTATAGAAGGCAAACAAACCAGCTTTCAGCAGCGGAAGCCTCAGAGCTAGAGCCAGAGCTAAAGCTGGCCCAGAATAAAAAAAAAAAAAAGAAAAAAAGGAGCGGTTGGTAGCTTCAGTCAATCGCCAGCCTGAAAGCAGCCCTCAGCCCCTCACCCAGACTGGCCAGGCACCCCAGTGGGGACCCCCCACCCTGAAGGGTGTGTGACCAGCTGCAAACAGCCATCATCCCCTCATCCAGGCTGGCCAGGCACCCCAGTGGGGACCCCCACCCTGATCCAGGACACCCTTCAGGGCAAACCAGCCGGCCCCCAGGCCTCTATCCTATATAGTAAAAGGGTAATATGCCTCCCAGCACCGGGATCAGCAGAGCCACGAGGCCTCCTGGCACCGGATCAGCGTGACAGGGGGCAGCGCCCAAACCCCCTGATCGCCCTGCGACTCTGTGTGTGACAGGGTGCAGTGCCCCAACCCCCTGATCGGCCCTGCTCTGTGTGGACAGGGTAGAGCCATAACCTCCCCATTGGCCCTGCCCTGAGTGTGACAGTGGCGGCGCCCCAACCCCCTGATCGGCCCTGCTCTGTGGGTGATAGAGGGCAGCGTCCCAACCCCCCCACCCGCCACGGGCCCTGCTCTGTGTGTGATGGGGTAGAGCCATAACCTCCCCATTGGCCCTGCCCTGAGTGTGACAATGGCGGCGCCCCAACCCCTTGATCGGCCCTGCTCTGTGTGTGACAGGGGCCGGTGCCCTAACTCCCCTATCGGCCCTACTCTGTGAGTGACAGGGGGGGAGCTCCTCAACCCCCTGATCGGCCCTGCTCTGTGCATGACAGGGGGGGAGCTCCCCAACCCCCTGATGAGCCCTGCTCTGTGCATGACAGGGGGGCAGCGCCCAACCCCCTGATTAGCCCTGCTCTGTGCGTGACAGGGTACGGAGCCCCAACCCCCCTGATGGGCCCTGCTCTGTGCGTGACAGGGGGCAGCGCCCCAACCCCCTGATTGGCCCTGCTCTGTGTGTGACAGGGGGTGGCGCCGCAACCTCCCCATCGACCCTGCCTTGAGTGTGACAGGGGGCAGTGCCCCAACCCCCCAATCAGCCCTACCCTGAGCATGACTGAGGGTGGCATTGCAACCTCCCAACCCGCCCTGCTCTGTGCATGACAGGGGGCAGCGCCCCAGCTCCCTAATCAGCCCTGCTCTGAGCCCGACCAGGGGCTGCACCTAGGGATTGGGCCTGCCCTCTGCCACCCAGGAGCAGGCCTAAGCCAGCAGGTCATTATCTCCTGAGGGGTCCCAGACTGCGAGAGGGCACAGGCCGGGCTGAGGGACCCCCCCCTTCCCCCCCGAGTGCACAAATTTTTGTGCATCGAGCCTCTAGTACAAAATAATATTGAATGTGAAAGATGGAAAAAGAAAATGCTAGCTCTGTATTTGGTTTCCTTATTGAATTTTATACTTTACCATAGATTTCCATTTCTTGCAAGAAAATACATATACATACACTTGAAACAAGTCACAAAGCCAGCCTCAAGTCTGCTCTGTCACCGCTAGGGCTTTGGAAACAATTTTCATACATAAACCATATTATATTTTTTATAAAAATTCTCTTAGTCAGGATTATTATTTTGTTTTATGGTTATTTATTATTTATAATTGTGTGGGGTTTTTTTTTCTCCAGGGATGCAGGGATAATGATATAAAATACTAGTGATATTAGTAGTCATATTTTTTTCTTGATAATCCCTTATATCTCTTTTTATCTTTTTGTTTTTATGTTATTCTGTTTTATTTTTTAATTATTTAAATTATAATCTACATTCAATATTATTATGTATTAGTTTCAGGTTCACAGCATTATGGTTAGACAATCACATACTTTACAAAGTGTTCCCCCTGATATTCCAGTACCCACCTGGCACCATACATAGTTATTACAATATTATTGACTATATTCCCTATGCTGTACTTTACATCCCCATGACTGTTTTGTAACTACCAATCTGTACGTCTCAGTTCCTTCACCCAGTTCCCCAGCTCCCTCTTAAACTCTGTTAACTTACTGAAAAACACACTGAGTGAGGGAAAAACTCCCATTTGCCTGTTGGTATAATATAATGTACCTATCAATTAGTTTTGCTAAAGCCAAGAAAAAAACAAATTTAGACAGGTTAAATTTGAAATATATCTAGTAAATCACTTATTGCTTGTGCTAAATAATAAAACAAAGTTTTACCTTTATAAAGTATTTTCATCTTTTGAGAGCTTTTATTTGATCCCCAAAACAATCACATAATTTCAGTAGAGCAGATTTATTAACATGTCTAGGAAATGAAGAAACTGAAACCCAGAGAGCATATAGATAAAGACAACTGTTTATTTGAAGCAGAGTCATGACTTATATCCTAGCACGTACACATTTCACCGTTGAGCAAGGACATCTTTAATGTCCCTTCAGAAGTTCATCTTTAAGAGCTATTTATGGAATCAAAGATACGGAGTTGAAGAATACTGATCTTAGAGGCAGGCAGCTGGGCCCCTCCGTGCTCTTCCTTGTTCTGGCTCAGTGATCTTGGATGCTGTACGTATGTCTATAAGCTTTAGTTTCCTCAGCTGTAAGATAGAGATCATAATATCTACTCCTCAGGTTTGTTGTGAGAATAAGAAAATACTGCCTAAGAGTTTTAGCACAGCATCTGAAACATGGTAAGTATGCAGTTAGTGATAGTTTTTTTTAAGTTGCTCAGTAGATTAAATGGTCTGTGCATATCCAACTGCTACCTCATTATTAATACTTTAAAGATGTCTTAGTGTACTGTATGTTGCACAGATTTTCAACAACTTGTATACTGTTTTAATTTTGAGTAATTAGAAATCATATGCAGGCCATTTTTTTCTTTAACATTTTAGTTATTTTATTGAAAAGCTAAAACATGGAAGAAAATAATTTAAAAACTAATCATTTCACATTGAGATTCTAAGTGAAATTGATTACACATTTCATTGAGCAAAACAAAGTGAGTGTCAATTAACACTTTTATAAGCCAACTTTCTCCATGAAGAAAATGTTTATGGTCCACTTAATATAAGTTCATACAAGCAAGATGAGTTCCAGCATCCTCTAGCCTTATACAAAGTAGGTTTCAACTGCCTTTGGTAGGGAAGTATTTATACCATTATGACTTCATCTGACATGGTTCCTTTCATATTTTTTATATTTATTCTTTCAGATCTTGGCACTGGTAGCTGTCAGAAAAGGCATGGACTACCTCTTCTCCCAGCACGACCTCAGCTTCCTCGATGATGTCATTCCAGAAAAGGAAAAGAAGAAGAAGGAAGATGAGAAGAGAAAGAAAAAGAAGAAAGGAAGTCTGGACAGTGACATTGATGATGTAAGGAATTTCCCAGAATTCCAAAGTAACGCTAGTTAAAGAAATGTATGTGAAAAATCAATTTTTTTATCCCTTATGTGAGATGTATGTCTGAGTTTCGAAAATGTTTACTTGTCCATGTTACATGTCAGTCTTCACCTTCCTTTACCCTTTATTTTCTCTTTAGTTTTTTATATTTTCTGAAGCCTTTCTTTAACCATTAATACACTAAAAATGATAAAGTGACTTCTGAAAACCAAACCAAAAAAAGTCCACTACTTCTAAAGAACTCCAATCTCATAAATAAATAAAAAAGTTCACTTAGTGCTGCTATAAAATGTATTTGATTTGCTGTTGACAATCCAGGATTTAAATTTGAGATGACTCCGGTTTATGTAATAATGTTAAGCCTAATGTAGACAAATGCTGGTGCCCTCACCTCCCATTATCTATGTTGGAGTAGGCTCTCAACCAAAGTCCTCTGCTATTGTTTTTATCTTTGCATTGGGCTTTGACATGATTTTGGATTATTTCTCTGTAACCCTTCAATTAAAAGGAAAGGGAATTGTACTGTAGGGTCTTTTTACATAATTGTAATAGTCATAGGTGATCCTCCTTCAGTTGGGTGATTAAGTTGAAAAATAAAATAATTGCCTATTTTTTTTCTTTAGGAGACCATTTCAGAGGAATACAGGTGCTCTAATAGGAGTCTGTAATTAGTGCTAGGAGAAAAGATGAGATTTGTTTAACATACACACACAGAGCCTATCCTAGTAGTCTTTGAAAGGACTGCCAAAATGAGATTTTCTGTGTGAAGATTTGTTCTGAATTTTTCAACACAGTGAAGTATCCCCATTCTAATGGGATCCCTGGGATCCCATTCTAAAATGGGAGTGTAGTTAATTTTTGCTGTGTACTATATACTTGATCATTTTGATTGATCATGCATACTTGTCTTCAATTGCCAAAACAGCTGTTTCTAGTATATATTTTTGTTCCTACTTTACATATGAGGAACTTTAGACTGAGAAATGTTAAGTCATTTTTTTAAGTGTATACATGATAACAAATTCATAAGTATTTGCTGATGGAAAGCTTTCCAGTTGTTCCAATATGTAGTGCCTTTCTTTTGGTGCAGTGCTAGTTTTAATCAACTCAATCCCATTAACTCAGAAGGGAGAAAAACAAATGTGAGGGAGAAAGATGGTGTAGAATTTGAAAAGTTAGCCAAGCGGGAATGATTGTATCTAAGGCTTTTCTCCTTAGTGCAATGTAAATGACAATATGGTAAGTTTAATCAATATTGGGAGGTAGGGAGGTCTGTATAGTAACACCTTTCTTAAAACTTACAAATTTCTTTCACAGTCTGACTGCCCATACTCAGAAACAGTCCCAAGTATTAAAATTCCAATGGACATCATGGAACAGCAGCCTTTCCTAAGTGATAGCAAACCTTCCGACAGTGAGTAGAACTAACCTCTTGCTTCCCTGCTTTAATATGATTTGCACTTGCAGAGAAAAAAACGTTAGAACGATCATTTACATTAACTTTCCTTCCATTTTCTTTTTTCTCTATGCGAAGATTTACACTTAGGTATTGTTTTAAAACTTCATTTTTACATTCCCTGAGCTTCCCTTTCCTTCCTTTTATCTTAAGTTTTTGCTTGGCAGTCTTTTCTCTGACCCAAGTTATCACCAGTTTCTTTCAGTTGCTAAACTCATAACCATGTCTTTAACTGATTTTTCTTTTTCCTGCTGGTGTTTAGAATTGCGGCTCGTAGGACTACATCACTGTCTGTTACTGTTTGTCTTCCTTAGGCTTCAGCCAATGAGCAGATCAGCCCAAAAGAGAAATTGCAACACGGGTTCTCAGTGATTAATGAATCAATGATTAATATTGAGAATTTGGAGTAATTGATTATTTTAAATTTTATTGGCAATCATAAACTAATTAACAGAAATTTCTAGGTATGATTTACAAGATTTGTGCATTTTCTCCCTCATGTCTTCCTCCTCTGCTATTTCCAAATCACCTTTGTAACTGCACTGTTTTTTCCTTAGGTAACAGCCCGCTGGCTGGCTACGGTGTAGTGATTTCTGACACGTCGCCTTTTCTTTTGTAATCAACAGCCTCCTTAAAAAGGGGGGAACCTCTGTAGTAACATTACTGAATATATCTCAAGCTTTTCCAATAGCAGTTGTCTCCAAACTACTTTCACTTTGCGTTCTCGTTGGAAGAAAATGTATTTTTTTAAGATCCAGATGCACTTCAAAGTCTACTGATCTGCTAAAGGCAAAAGACAGTTGAGACCTTCTCTCTTCTATTTGACAATACCACTTCAATAACAGCTTACCGAGAGAAGTTTGAAATGAATGACTGTTTATGAAAATAGGTATATGAGTTATTGATTGCTGTGTAACAAATTACTATAAAGTTTAGCCGCCGGAAACAACAAACCTGTTTTCTAACACAGTTCCTGACATTCTGAAATTCGGGAGCAGCTGATTTGGATGGTTCTGGGTCCGGGTATCTCATGAGGTTGCAGTCAAGTTCTCGGCTGGGGCTGAGTCCTGACGGGAACTGGGATCTGGTTCCAAACTCAGTCACAAGGCAGTTGGCAGATGTCAGTCCCTTGGTCTGTGGGCGCCTCCATAGAGCTGCCCATGCATGAATTGGCTTCCGCCAGAGCCAGTGATAACAGAGTGTGGAACCAAAGCAGGAACTGCAGTCTTTTATAACCGAATCTCAAAAGCAGTATATCATCCCTTCTGCCATATTATATTAATCATACAAACCAACCCTGGTACAGTATGGGAAGGAATTATACAAGGATATGAATACCAGGAGGCAGGGAGCATTGGAATCTGGCCAGCACACTAGGTTTAAAGAATGAGAACACTCTCACCTTTAGTGTCTAATCTGAACGTAGGCTATAGGTTATAACTGAGGCCAATTTCTTCTCAATCCTGTCAGTGGGATTGAGTTAATTTTTCCTTTTTAAATTCAAGGTCCCCAAACCATGTTCTAGCTTCATTATTCATCTTCAGAGCATCAATAGCAAATGAAGACTGAAAGAGAGCCCATTATGTATGTTGTCCATTGACATTGTAAGCTAGTGGAGCCCTTCCAAGTACAGTTTAAAGGCTGCTTTAGAAAAAAAAATCCGTTAGAATTTGAGGCTCCTGGAAAAAATGTATAGCAATTAGATTATCTAGTGCTAGTATTCTTCATTCTCTCAAGAATCCTTTAAGAAGGATACTTTGAAAGCTGATATATTAGAAATTTACTTAAGCAAATCACCCATGATCATTCTAACTGACATGATTTTTTTTTACATTTTTAAATTAATTTTTAGAAAGAGAGGAAGGGAGAGAGAGAAACATCAATATGAGAGTGAAACATTGATCAGCTGCCTCCTACACACCCATACCAGGGATCGAGCCCGCAACCCAGGCATGTGCTCCGACCAGGAACAGAATCAGGGGACCTTCCAGGGCACGAGATCATGCCCAAGCCACTGAGTCACACCCACCATGGCTAAGTGACATCTTTCTAATGTCATATTTATCTTCTATAATCCATGAAAAAACAAAATTGATAGAGTTGCAGCATAAATAAGTTCCTCAAAATCGTTTTATTCCCCCACAAATCACAGGACAAAATTGTGAATGCTGAAGATGTAAGGAAATCCAAGAGTAAGCATACTTTTAAAAAATGATTCACCTCTTGCCCCCTCACTGAGAGGAACATTAGTGGTTATTCCTAGAAAAAAAAACCTGGAGTAAAGGAAGCAAAGTGATTTTGGCTTCATCACACTAGTTAGATTCTTACCTTGATACAGTGTTTATTGACATTGTCTAAACTTGCCTTTCTTACTCTTCCCCATTGTGAAAGATGCATCAATTTTTGTGGAGATTTTTATTTTCACTCTAGTTTTAAATATTACCCAAAACTACTCTTTATGGTTAACAAAGATTTTTTTTTTCCAGGAGAAAGATCACCAACATTCCTTGAACACCACACATCATGCTGATAAAATTCCTTTTCTTCAGTCACTGGGTATGCTCAGGTAAAGGACGGCCCTGTTTCCCCTACGTTGTTCTGTGCGATGATTGCCCCACAGAAATGAAGTCAAAGGCGGGTTATTGGCAGAACACCTTGTTCTCCTTCCATTTCTCTTAAATAAATTTCCCAACCACCAAACCTTGCTCCAGTTTTCACTGGTAGAAAACCTTCTAAGAGACCTTTTCTATTTACTCTCAGAAATACTGAAATCTCTCAGTAGCATTAAAATAAAGTCCCCGATCAATCAATGTCACCTCTTATCCTTTCTGTATCATCTCTGACTTAAGGAGTAACTGCATTTCCTGGCAGCTCTTCTCCAGGAGTTTCCTTCCCTCTTAACCTGGCTCTGCAGATTTCAGATCTTAGTTGGTTGCCCAGAAAGTACAATCCCTGAATATTTTCTTCATGAAAGTCTTTTTGTCCTTTAAGTTGACAGTATCACCCACCTGGCAGCCCACCTTCTTGTTTGTTTTTGTGTTGTTGTTTTTTCAAATCTAGGTATGAGGGCTTAAGACATTTTTACTTGAATATCTTGACTCTATTGGTACCTTCATCCCACTTAAAAATGTTTGTTTTATGAATACAGAAAGTGGAGATAATAATTTACAGAAAACAAAGGACACATTTGGCTTCCAATATATAGACATTTGACAGATGAGAAAGGAAATCTGATTTACTTACCAGTTCTTTTCTTTTCTTTTTCTCTAGTCCTCCTAAAACTCCAGTACAAGGTGTGCCTCAAATCAGAATAGAACTTGAGCCGGATGACAATGATGATTACTGGAGGAGCAAGGGAACAGAAACTACATTGTAACTTGTTTGTCTTTCCTCAAACTAACAGATTTTGTTGTTCATGGTCTTGTTTTTTTTCGTCTGGTTGTTTATTTTTAATTCTTGTTTTGTTTTGGGTTTTGGTCATTGGCCAAATAGTACAGTGCTCTCTCTGCTTCTCCCTCGCGTAAGGTAAAACTAAGACAGTAGTGCACCATTCCTGAAAAACAGCACCTGAAGAGTCCCCTTTTCGTTATACGCTCAGATGTATCCTCTGACAACCAAATTCCTCTGTCATGCAAGACACGCACAGACCCCGTCCTTTTCCCTTTCTTAACCAGAGGTCAAAAGTATTAAGGATTTTATAACACCTTTCATTCAAATACTGAAGGAACTTACCACTTGAGCTTTGGAGCTGTGCTTACTGGCTTGTCTTTCTGTCTGGCAGAACAAACCTTGATCTCCAGACAGAGTTTCCTCTCGCTTACGGAGCTCTCCAGAACTGGAAAAGTGCTGCTATTCTAATTTGCTCTTGCTTAGGAACCCTAATCCTAGAATTCTCAAAAGAAGAAAAACTAAAGGTACTTTATTCCCTGTAGCGAAACTATTGCCATCATTGTAGCAAGTGCTGGAATGTCCCTTTTTCCTATGCAACTTTTTTTAACCCTCTAATGAACTTATCTGTTGAGTACATTTGAAGAATATTTTTCTTCCTAGATTTTGTTGTTTAAATTATGGGGCCTAACCTGCAACTTATTTTTTTGTCAATTTTTTAAACTTTTTTTTAATTACTGTAAAATAATGAATTTTTCCTGCAGCAGGAAACATAGTTTTGAGTAGTTCTACCTCTTATTTGTAGCTGCCAGGCTTTCTGTAAAAATTGTATTGTATATAATGTGATTTTTACACACATATACACACTCATACACACACACACACACACACACAAATACACAATCTTTAAGGTAAGCCAGAGGGCTAGATCAGAGGAAAAACACCATGTTTCTAAGCATCAATTTTCCCCTTTCTTTAAAAGAAATTTATCTGTTCTGTGAAGGAGAATGGGGGAGAAGGGAGAAGCTCCTATGTTATGGGAATAACTGATGCTTTGATAACAGTACTATCCAGGCACAGATGCTAATTGTATTACCATGTCCATGTCCTATGCAGTATTGTTAGATTTTGTTTTTTCACTTTGAAGTATTTGTGTGTTTGTGTATATACTCTGTGTGTGGCTGGTGCATATATGTGCAAAGTCATGGACAGAGTGATGGTAGGCGAAGGGCAAAGTTACCCAGCCTCTTGTGTCAGTTGTCATAAAACCCAAACCATATATGAAAAATCCATCGGAGGTCTAAGAGACTTACGGTCATGTAAATGAGGGTGAATATATTTTATTATTCAGATATTAGTAACCATCACTGATACAGTAGCCCATAATTATAATACAAAATTCATAGAAATATCAATAGACCATTTGCACATTTATAAAGTGTTTATGGCATGACAAATAGATCTGCAGAGGTGTATGTGTATACATTGTAATAAGACTCACACATTTTTTAGGATGGAAAGGCAATTCCTTGTGATTGGGAAGTTTAGAATACATACATGTGTATGTGTATGTGTATATTTCAAAGTACCATTTTGAAAATTAGAAAAAAGAAAATCTTTATTAATTAAATTACCATGTTATTTTAATATAATGCTTTTAATAGGTTGAATTATGTATTATGAATCTGCATTAAAAATGTTAAAATGTTGAATCCCTATTTTGGGGTCATATGGTCACGTTTTGCGGTGCATCTTAAGTAAAATAGATTGTCAGAAGAGTTCAGAAACAGAACGAAGCCACCTATTTTGGTTTCATAATATATACATAGTGACTCCTACTTATTTTTATATTAATTAAATTATAATACTGCCCTCTTAAAATTCTGATTACAAAAAATTTATTCTGAATTAGCTGTTTCTTTTATAGTATCAGATAATCTTAAAACCTTCAATTTTATACAAATTAGATATAAATGACCTGCAGTTTTTTCATTCAAATGAAAGTGGCAAATTACTTGTTATTTATTAAAACCGCTCATGCTAAATTTTGGCTTGTATTTACAACTATTCTTAAAATGATTACTCTATATTATATAGTTTTTTCATTAAACTAAGATAAAATTAGAAGCTTTCCCCCTTTTTTTTTTAACTGATAGAAGCACCAATAAAATGTTTGAAAGCCATGCATAATATATTCAGCCTAACCTAAAAGCTTGTCAAATTAATGACATTTTTGTTCATTTTTATAAAATCTAGCTATAATAATTTATTTTTCTGATCATGAATCAAGTATTTGAGGATTCATGCCCCTTTCCATCCCTTTAAAAAAACCTAAAACAACTTAATTCAGCCTTTGAGTAGATCTACAAGTTATCTGCACCTCTGTGTATGATGCATGTTCAATGACTGGTTGATACTTACAATATGAATGTGGAACAATACGTTATGTTTGCTAAAAGGATCATAGGTATCAAACCTTTTCAATATTTTGGGACCCAGGGATGTATTTAAAAAATCATAACTTTCAGAGGAATAGAAATAGTTACCCAACAAACAAACCCTGAGGTCCTCACAGAGCCACCAAATTATCTCTATCTCAATTGAATTTACTCATTATTTAAGAACTAACCAGATTGTGTGGTTTTGTTTCTTTGTAAACTGGACACACAGAATACACTGGTAAAATTTTACAGAGTGTTTCTCCCTGATGTGAATACGGACAAAAAAAGATGTAAGTTGTTAGAAGTAAAGAAGTAAGTAACTAAGTGTACACTCAGAATTGTTAACCGGAGCGCCTGGCTGTACACACTTATTGTTGGAAGGAAAGATCACTAGGCCAAGAGTCTGCCTTATGGAAACAAAAGGTCTCTGGCTTTGCATTCGAAAGAAAATATCTTGGAGGCACCGTTTTCCTTGATGAAAGTCACTCTTCTCTACTATGTAAAACCAGGACTTGGAACCCTAATTATTTTGTGTGCCATCGGCAGTAGTGTTCCTGATTGTTCTTCCAGTCAAGCTGTGGAATGGGGGTAGGGAGGTGGACGCTTAAAGAAGTAGGGAAAAGGCCTCTCTAATCAGCCCCCTAACCTCAAAGAATGGGGGTGGGGGTGAGGGGTGGGGGGGTAGTAATTGTCTGCCTCAGTAATTCAGGTGTGTAGTTCTATATATTTTATGCACATGCACCAGTACACACAGAGTAAATCTTTTATCAGCTCTATATCGATGTTTAATACAGAGAACGTTTGTCTTCCGAGTTTTGGTTCTTTTTTTGTTTGTTTTGTTTTTAACTGTGTTAAAGTACTTGAATTGTATTGACTGCTGACTATCTTTAAAAAACAAAACAAAACTATTTGAGTTGTATTACAGAGGTTGACATTGTTCAGGGATGGGACAAAGCTTCCTTCAATCCTTTCATACCACTTAACGATTTTGGTGCAGGAACTTGAGATTTTCTTATTTATTTCTTATTTCACGTCGGCTCTTCACAGCATGAGCATGCAGCCCAGTGGCACCAAGGGGCTGAATACAATCAAATGATAGTCTGTGGCCCTTGACCATCTGAAGGGCTGTGGGAGTTTGGAGATGATGATTTCATTGAGCTTCGCTGCAGCCTGAAATATGGTTTTGTGATATCGGCAAACACCAAGTTGTGTTTGGGCAAGAGATTTGCATATGTCCTATTTTTGGCTCATTTCTTTGTGTTCTGTGGGTACATACAAAAAATTCTGAATTATATTTCCTAGGCAAATATTGCAACTCAGGGCTAATGTCATCCAGTAAAACTTTTAGAGCCAGAAGTAACTTTGTCCCATTCCTACAATGTGAAAAGCGTGAATAGTTGCCTCTTTTTAGCCATTTTCATGGCTGGTACATATTCATACACATTACTTTTCAGAATCAATACGCACTTTCAGATATTCTTATTTTTATTCTCTTAAGTCTTTATTAACTTTGGAGAAATGATGCATCTTTTTATTTCAAATGAAGTAGATCAACATGGTGGAACAAAATGATAAAGAACAGAAAACATTTCAATATATTACTAATAATTTTTTCCAATATAAAACCTAAAATTCCTATAACATTATAGTATTTTACAGTTTTATGAAGCTTTCTATTGTGACTTTTATGGAATTAAGAGATGAAGAAGATGAGATATTTTAGCATTTATATTTTTCAAAATTAAATGTATACTTAAAATAAAGTAACTTTATGCATTTGGGAGTGTTAAGTGCTTCTGTTCAACCCTTCAAATAATTATTGCATGCCTATTACGTTGTTCCCAGAAAAGGGACCTGGCCTTAGTGTGGGTCTACCTTGGGCTGGTTGGTAGTGTGTGGGTTCTTGACTTCTTGCAGGAAAGATTTCACAATACATGTCTCGGTGATTTTTAGAGCATGTTTATTAAGGCTGGGTACAGTAAAACAAGGAAGGGCTTTGGATAGTGGAAGCAACCTAAGCAGGAGAACCTAAGCAGGGCAGCCTTGCCTCTCTGGAAATGTTAGAGGAAAGATGAGCCTAGTCCAGTGGTCGGCAAACTCATTAGTCAACAGAGCCAAATATCAACAGTACAACGATTGAAATTTCTTTTGAGAGCCAAATTTTTTAAACTTAAACTATATAGGTAGGTATATTGTTATTAACTGAATTAGGGTACTCCAAAGGCTTAGGAAGAGCCACACTCAAGGGGCCAAAGAGCCGCGTGTGGCTCGCGAGCCGCAATTTGCCGACCACGGGTAGGCTAGTCTGCTTTCGCTCACTAGGAAGTCAGAGAAAAGGGGGCTTTGGAGACAAGTTCACAGTTAGCCCTGGACGAATTGCCACAGCCCAGGGCTGCCCAGTTTGCAAGCTGGTGAGGGCCCTTAGAGCATCGGTTCTCAACCTGTGGGTCGCGA